TTGCATACACACAGAGTTGACATCATGTTTTAAACAGCTTTTCTTTATATTGCACTCGTTTTAAACTGCTTTATATTGAAACGAGTCCAGTTATGTTGAGTTGAATTGAGCCAGGTAAGTTCTTCAAATTATTTTCTAGCCTATGTTGTGTTTAGCATTCCAACTCGCATACTCGTACATTCAATGTACTGATGCCAGTTGGCCTGCATCTTATTATAATGCAGACACAGGTAACTAGGATCGGCATCCAGTGCTTGTTGATCCAGTGAGCACTCCAGAGTCAGTTGGTGAGCCTTCTTGCATTCCAGAGGACTCTTTTTTATTGCTTTCAAATATTTTATTAGTTTATTAGGATGTCGTGGGGTTTGTCTCGACATCCATCTCAGTTGTTTTAGAGGCTTCATAGACAGTCAGATGTTAGTTCTTTAGTCTTTTCATTGTCATTATCTTATGTTAAGACTTGAGTTTGCCTTAATGGCCAAGTTGAATGTTCCATTATAACATTCCAGATTATTACATAGACTTGTCTCTGTTGAATTAAGTCTTCCGCGAAGCAAGTAACCCAGGCCAAGGGTTCGCTTGGGGCCAGCAATGGTTCTCGAGTGCCAGTCCCACCTAGGGTGTAGGCTCGAGGCGTGATAGTATATATGTTCTACTTTTGGACGGTAGTGGCACCAATGTCCCAAAAGTATGACGGAGGGTATCTGCATATCATTTATGATAGTTTGGGGGTATATTTGTCCTCTTTCCCTTTAAACTATAAATTTTAGATATTTAAAAACTTTATGAAAAGTACTATAAATTATTTAAACCTCTTTGTAAAAATTAAAAATATGAAGGATATAATAGATATTGCATATAATATTACATGCATTAAATATTTATAGATGCATATTGTTGTAAAATGAGAACAAAATATAATAGTACTAAACAAGAAATGGAAGACAAATGCTAATGAGAAGTATAGAGTAGAGAGTATTCTTTTATCTCTTTTTTGTTGTCTTTCTTAAGGGTGAAAGAATACCCTTTTATAGTATGTAGATATCATTCGTTTACAACCTTATACCAAAATATGTTAGTAATCTTTAAGGCATACATTAAATTAATACATTATGTTAGGTTGTTGATGAAAAGAAACATTCATAATTAAATGGATTTGTAACACTCCCCCTTGGATGTTTATAGATAATGTGTCTCGTTAAAACCTTACTAGGAAAAACCCAGTGGAAAAAAGCCTAGTGAAGAAAAAAGAGTACACACATCTTGTAATACGCCTTGAGTGATGCCTCATTAAAAACCTTTCCAAGAAAACCCAGTGGGACAAAACCTTGGTTAAGGGAAAAAGAGTACAACGCGTATTTTACTCCCCTAATGAAACTTTATTTGATATATTGGAGACGACGTATTCCAATCTTATATCTTAGCTTCTCAAATGTTGGCATTGACAATGCCTTAGTGAATAAATATGCAAGATTATCACTCGAACGAATTTGTTGAACATTTATCTCACCATTTTGTTGAAGATCATGTGTGAAAAAGAACTTAGGTGAAATATGTTTTGTTCGGTCTCCTTTGATATATCATTCCTTTAATTGAGCTATGCAAGCAGCATTATCTTCATACAATATTGTTGGAGTCTTTGTTTACACAGAAAGACCGCATAATTGCAAAATGTGTTGAGTCATTGATCTCAACCATACACACTCTCGACTGGCTTCATGAATGGCTATTATCTCTGCATGATTTGAAGAAGTAGCAACTATTGTCTGCTTCATAGAACGCCATGATATAGTTGTACCTCCATATGTGAATAAATAGCATGTCTGAGATCTAGTTTTATGTAGGTCAGACAAATATCCTAAATCTGCATAACCGATCAATTCTGACTTAGATGCATTAGAATTCAACAATCCCATATCAATTGTTCCTTGAAGATATCTGAATATATGCTTAACACCTTTTCAATGTCTTCTTACTGGACATGAGTTGAATCTCGCCAATAAACTTACTGCGAAACAAATATCAGGTCGGGTATTGTTGGCAAGGTACATTAGCACCCCAATAGCACTGAAATATGGTGTTTCATCACCAAGAATCTCATCATCATTTTCTTGAGGTCAGAATGGATCTTTATTTATACCGAGAGATCTCACAACCATCAGGGGTACTCAATGGGTGTGATTTATCCATGTAAAATCGCTTCAAAACCTTTTCAGTATATGTTGATTGATGGATAAATATTCCATTTGTCAAATGTTCAATCTGAAGACCAAAATTTGTCTTACCAAAATCTTTCATTTCAAATTCTTTCTTCAAACACTCAACAACTTTTGAAAGCTCTTTAGGAGTTCCAATGATGTTCAAGTCATCAACATAAACAGCTATTATTACAAATTCAGATTTTGACCTTCGTATAAAAATACAAGGACAAATAGGTTCATTCTTATACCCTTCCTTTAGCAAGTATTCGCTAAGACGATTATACCACATTCGCCCTGATTGTTTCAATCCATATAAGGATTTCTGAAGTTTTATTGAATAACTTTCTTTTGAATTTTTATATGTTTTAGTCAGGAATTTTCATAAAAATATTGTGGTCTAGTGAGCCATATAAATAGGCCAAGACAACGTCCATTAAATGCATTTCAAGCTTTTCATGAACTGTCATATTTATTAGATACATAAAGGTAGTTGGATCTACCACAAGAGAATACGTCTCCTCATAATCAATGTCAGGCCTCTGCAAAAATCCTTGTGCCACAAGTCGTGCTTTATATCTTACGACTTTATCATTTTCATTGTGTTTTCGCACAAAAACCCATTTGTGCCCCACTGGCTTGACACCTTTAGGTGTTCGGAGTATTGGTCCAAAAACTTAACGTTTTTCAAGTGAAGTCAATTCTGTTTGAATTGCTTCCTTTCATTTTGACCAATCATTTCTCTGTCTACATTCATTGACAGATCTTGGTTCTAAATCTTCATCTTGTTGCGTTATTTCAACTGCAACATTATAGGCAAAAAATATTATCCACCACAATATTATTTCGATTCCACCTTTTTCTCATTGAGACATAATTTATTGAGATTTCCTCACTCTCATTATTTTTCAGGTGCATAGACCTCCTTAGTGGTGTCATCATTTATTATGTCTCGGAGCTCTTCATGAGAATTTGCCTCCATATTATGATCATCTTGATCATTTATTACTTTCCTTTTTCAAGGATTTTTATCCTTGAAACCAATTGGTCTACCACGTTTTAAGTGTTGTCCAAACTCGTTTGCCTTAACACTTTGTCCTATCGGGACATCAACTCGAACTTGAGCATTAGCAGCTGGGATATATGATTTAGTAAGCTGTGGAAGGTTAGTAAATGCATTTGGCAGTTGTTTTGCAATATTCTGCAAATAAATCATCTTTTGAACTTCTTGCTCACATTGATTTGTTCGAGGATCTAAATGAGACAGTGAAAGTGAATTCCAATCTATCTCATTTCCCAACTGCTTTTGTTCTCCCCCTAATGTTGGGTATATTGATTCATCAAAATGACAATCAACAACTGTAAATAAATCTCCAGTTCTAGGTTCCAAATATTTTATAATAGAACGAGATTTATACCCAACATATATCCCCAACCTTCTTTGGGGACCCATCTTTGTGTGTTGCGGTGGAACCATTGGAACATATACCGCAAAATCAAAGATTTTAAGATGAGAAATGTTTGGCTCTTGACCAAAAACCAATTGCAATGGGGAGATGTCATGATAGATGGTTGGCCTTATGCGCGCAAGTGTTGATGCATGCAATATAGCATGCCCCCATATTGAAATAGGCAACTTTGTCAACAATAGTCTAGCTATTAATTGGGGACGATTAATTAATAACTCTGCTAAACCATTTTGAGTATGAACATGTACAAAAGGATGTTCAACTATTATTCCAGTGGACAAACAATAATCATTAAATGCATGAGATGTAAACTCACCAGCATTATCAAGACGAATTGTCTTTATTGTATAATCAGGAAATTGTGCTTTTAACCTTATTATTTGAGCCAACAATCTCGCAAAAGCCATATTGCGAGTTGACAATAAACATGCATGTGACCATCTTGTAGATGCATCTATCAAGACCATATAATATTTAAATGGTCCACATGCAGAGTGAATAGGTTCACATATATCACCCTGTATCTGTTCCAGAAATGCAGGGGATTCCCCCCCCCCCAATCTTAGCCAATGATGGTTTGATAACCAACTTTCCTTGTGAACAAGCAACACAAGAGAATTCCTTTGATTGAAGAACATTTTGGTTCTTCAAAGTATGCCCATGTGAATTCTCAATTATTTTGTGCATCATATTATAACCAGGATGGCCCAACCGGTCATGCCAAATGATAAAATCATTGAAATCAGTAAATCTTTTGTTTACTACAGCATGTGATTCAACCGTACCAATATTTGTATGATACAACCCAGAAGAAAGTTCATGCAATTATCCATGCACAGTTTTCTTCTCTGCATTTATTGTAGTAATATAAAGGTATTCAACCTTTCCTTCATTTGCAGTCTCAACATGATAGCCATTTTGGCGAATAACCTTGAAACTCAACAAGTTTATTTGAGACTTACTACAATACAATGCATTATCAATTACCAATAATGTTCCTTCGGGTAGTAATAAGGCCGCTCATCCAGAGCCCTCAATCAATTTTGTACTACCAAATATTGTATTAACATATGTCTTTTTCATTAACAAATGAGAGAAATATTTCTTTTCTCTTAGTATCGTATGAGTTGTGGCACTGTCCAGAAAGCACATATCTTCATTACTCATACTGAATCCAACTGAAGACTAGGAAATTTTATTTATCTTCATAAAAATAGAAATACATAATAAGAAGTACGAAACTTAACAAAACAAAATTTAAGTACATGAACTTTAAATAAGACATTAAAAACACATAACAACATTATTTATTTCCCAGTTCAATTATCAATCTTCAATTGCAATCCCCAAAGAAGTCCTCAGCTTCTAGATGAGTAATATCATTGAGCCCATCAAAAGCATCATCTTTCAATGCTAAATTTGCCTCAACATTCTCATCATATTTTTGAGAATATCCTGCTTGAGCATCATCTTTGAGAGTCAAGTGTGACTCCACGCGGGCATTAGAAGAGGAGGCACCGCCTTTATTTCCTTTCCTTTTGATGGAATTTTGATACAGCCTAACAAAATGCTCAGGTGCCTGACATTCATTTTTCCAATGACCTTTAAGGCCACAACGATGACAGTGATCGCCCTTTCCTTTAGAAAGATTATTTTGAGAACCCACATTGTTCTCCCTTTTGTTATGACCACCACCTCGACGATTATTATATCGTCTTTTGCCTTTGCCACGCCCACGCACATTATCATGACCCCGATTATTTTGTCGTATTTCAGACTGGTCGTGTTCTTCTATCATGTGTGCTTTCGGTAACGGAGCACTTCCAGTGGGACGGGCTTCATGGTTTCTCATTAAAAGGTCATTATGTTGCTCAGCCACCAGAAGGCATGAGATCAATTCAGAGTATTTTTGAAAAACCTTTTTCACGATATTATTGTTGTAATATCAAATTAGAGGCATGGGAAGTAGTTAGTGTCTTTATCAACATGTCCTCATCTTTTATAGTTTCCCCACATAATTTCAATTGGGAAGTTATTCTAAATACAACAGAGTTATACTCAATTACGATTTTATAATCTTGAAACCGTAAGTGCATCCACTCATAACTAGCCCTTGGCAATACAGTTGCCTTGAGGTGGTCATACCTCTCTTTCAAACCTATCCACAATTCAAGTGGATCTTTTACCGTCAAGTATTCAACCTTCAGGCTTTCAGCAAGATGATGACGAAGGAAAATCATAGTTTTCGCTTTATCTCGACTTGATGCTTTATTTCCTTCGATTATACTATCACCAAGACCCTTAGCGGTAAGGTGAATTTCAACATCAAGTACCCATGACAAATAATTTTTTCCAGAAATATCAAATACCACAAATTCAAGCTTTGACAAATTCGACATGATGAAAACTATCATAAAATAGTTGAGTTAAAACATGATTTTGATTTCTTTATAATAAAAGATAAATTAATGTTTCAAATAATAAATTATAATATGATTATAAAAGATATTATATGTTATATGAATGCACATTGAATGTCTCAAAAGCATGTAAATTGATGAAGTATTGAAACGGTAGACTTAATATATTTTCTTAATTCTTCAACAACATTTATTACATGTTTCAATAGATATTAACGCCAAAGGTTTGTAAGAATTTCAAGTCATATTTAATACAATACAATTCTTCTTTATGACACACAAATACTTATCATAAATGTATGACAAAAAATATTACGAGTATTTTAACTAGCATGCTATTATATTGCTTAGTAATTAATTTAGAGTTATAGGTTAGTAGCATATCAATAGCATAATAATATAAATCGGAAATGTATTGATTATCATGCCTAGTAAAGTACCACAATAATACCTAAAACAAGTTATGTATGCAGTAATTAAAGCGTAGATCAATGACTTATGTAAGTCTTATTAGAGATGTTATAAACATATAAATGTATACCTGACTCGGAAAGAGAATTGATTAACTTTTAGGGAAAAAGGTAATTCTGAATTAAGTAAGTCTTAATTGGTTAGAGACTCGTATTGATAACGTGTTGTAAAATGAGAAAAATACAATAATACTAAACAAGAAATGGAAGACAAATGCTAATGAGAAGTATAGAGTAGAGAGTATTCTTTTATCTCTTTTTTGTTGTCTTTCTTAAGGGTGAAAGAATACCCTTTTATAGGATGTAGAAATCATTCGTTTACAACCTTAAACCAAAATACGTTAGTAATCTTTAAGGCATACATTAAATTAATACATTATGTTAGGTTATTGATGAAAAGAAACATCCATAATTAAATGGATTTGTAACACATACTTCATTTTTTTCTTATTCTTCGATGTCTATATAGATATATGATATTTGATTGTCGATAATGGAATATTATTTAGATTAAAATTTTATTTACAATATAAATAGATCATCCTTTAGAAAATTTGTTATAAAATATACCTCTATTTTACTAAAGAAATTATTAAAAAATTATCACTACCTATTATTATTTTATTTGTATAAATAGATATTAGAGTTTTGATTATCAATGAAATATTTATTTTTATTCTATTTATTCTATTTATTTTTTCATAGAAATTTGTTGCATAGAGTAAAAATTTTTATATGACGTTAATGAAGTAAAAGGAAAATAGAAATGTTGATAATTAATGCAAAGGATGAAATAGGTATTTTTAAAAATCAATTAGGATAAAAGGGGGAGAATGACTATTGTTCATAGTTGAGAGGGAGTTTTGATTTTCAAAAACAAAGTTGAGTGAAAATGATTTGAGAAAATTAAGTAATTGCGTGACTTAAGATAATATAATCTCTAAAAGAATTCCTATCATTTGAATTAATTACCAAAATTCCCTTTTTTCCTTCTCTCTTTTTTAACATCTTGTTACATCACTTCACCTCTATCAGATACATTATAACTTTGTTTGTGTGCAATGTTTTTGGCACAAATGTTATTGTTGATAATTTTAAATCTAAATCAGTATGAATCCGATTTATAGTTTGTATTTGATACATAACTTATATGCCTAATACATAACTTATGTATTGTTTGCTATGTATCGGGGAAAGGAGCAATGTATCCGCGAGTTCTGAAAAAATCCGAAATTATTATAATTTCGGTTTAATTAAACAAATCCTTCAACATACCTTTTTGTTTTTGATATATTTGTCATTCAACTTTGGGCACATATTTGTCTTTGTACAGTTAAGTATCATGTCACCACTTTTATGGCTCCACGTGTATAATATTTTTATTATAATTAAAAATTTACTTACTATTTGACTCATTTAGTAAAATCCGATTCAACCAATGTAAAGACTCATTAATCCTAATTTCAATCAAGACATGAAATAGAAGCCATGATGATTGAAGCTTTTTGCCATTTATTAATAGGTACAGCTTCAAGGAAAAAAGATGCATGTTTTATCATGTTGAACTAATAAAGCATAAAACTTATGCTGTTTTTTTTTGTTCTTTTTGTGTATTTTTGGCTTTTGCTCCTATGAAAATTTATGGTCTTTCTTTTTGGATAGGAATGTGAAGATTTAATTGCTAAAGGGATTAGTGGCACCCACAGCCATCCATGTCGTCTCTCCGCCAAACTGCTGCAGCTTGGTTGGGTCGAATAGAATAATATATACATGTGGAGCCACGTAAGCGTCATATAAGAACAATGTAAGTGTCACGTATGATAATAAAAGTGGTGATATTATACTTAATTGTACAAGGATAAATATGTGTCCAAAGTTAGATAACAAAGACAAATATATCAAAAAAAGTATGACGAAGAGTACATATGACCTTTTTCTTAAAATAAAAGGACAAATAGGACCCTTATCCGTTTTAAAAATGCTTTAAAATTATTTTGACTTAAACATTTAAAATAAGTCTATCCAAATAGATTTAAGTTGGAATCAAAGATTTAATATTAATCACATTCAGTATGACTATGATTTAGCATTTAATTAGATTCAAATTAATAACTCATTAACTAAAAATTAATATTTAATAAGAGGTTATTTTTATAATAGTGAATGGAAAAAAGGTCATTCAATATTTGATGGGCAAAGCTCTTGAAAAGATGATAGAATCCGGGGGCACCACCAGAAAACCTCTCTTTGGCTAAGATTATTATTTATTTATTTTTGTTAATTTTGTGGATCTTTTTCCCAAATTTTTTTCTCTCTTTCAGTTTATAAAATCAACAAAAAAAAATTAAAATAATTTATTTATCTCTTTCTTCACCATTATTACAATTTGTTACTTTTCTTCTCTTATTACCATTAATACAATTTATTATTTTTATTTAAATATTAAAGTCAGGTTTCGATTCGAATGTCAGGTCTTGGTTCAAGTGTTGGGGGGTTAGATCAGAATTTGAAAGTCAATTCCCGAGTCGGATGTCGAGGTCATATTCCGAGTTTAGAAATTGAGTCCTAAATTGGGGTCGGATATCGAGATTGGGCTCTGAATTAGTCATCAGGATTGGGTGTCATTGTGGGGGTCAGGGTCAGGTCCAGTTCAAAAGTCGGGTATCAGGTCGGAATTTGGGATAAGGTCTTGAATCAAGTGTTCAAATATGATCTTAGATTGATCGTTGGGGTCATATTCAGGTTCGGATCGTCGGGGTCATATTCAGGTTTGGATTATGGGTTCACGTGTCGCATTCAGGTTCCGAGTCAAATGTCAGAGTCAGATTCCAATTCGATCATTGGAATCGTACCCTGATCCGGGTGTCGGGATCGATTACTAAGGTTGATGTCAAAAGTTATTTTCCTAAAAGGTTTTTTTTTTTCACTCTCTAGCCAAAAGTAAAAGATATTTTCTGAAAATATTATTTTTTCACCAACCATATACTAGAAAATGTTTTTCAAAAATATTTTTCACTCACCAACCAAACACGAGAAAATAAATTAGAAATCAACTTATTTTCCTAAAAATATTTTCTAGAAAACATTTTCCTTCCTACCAAACACATATTATTTACAACGTACCCATTTTCTTATATATATATATGTGCCCCCTCTAGCTTAGCTCCTTCAACCTCTTCTTGGATTTTACCCTTTGTCACTTTCTCACATTATTCAATAGTATTGCAATATCAAAATCCTATTTCCATGTTCAAATTTATAATAAGATTCGTAAATAGTATTTAATCGTGACTAGACAATCAAGTAATTAAGCACATAATAATATAAATAAATAATCAGTAAAATCAATTTAAAATACAACACCACAGTGAAAATCTCATAACCCTTGAAAATATAAAAGTTTATTAAATCAAATTCATGGATCATAAATTTGAAATTCATATAATCATAGGAGAAAATATATGCTCCAAATTAGTCAAAAGATGCTAAATAAATATCCCTAATAAGTTCAAAAAAGTAAGCAAGATTTTCATTTTCCTTAGCGATGGGATTTGGAATATTTGGAGAGTAGTAGAAATAATGTATACAAGTAAATAGATGAGTAGATGCACGTTGAGACGCTTCATCCAAATCACCACTGAAGACTAAGTGATGAATCATATCCTCGAAATCTGATTTCAAAAGTATATACTGATGGAGACACTTCCTGTAAAGTTTCTTAAATTCTGGATTTGTTTCATTTGTAGTAACCGACAAAACCTTCCTTGCAATATTTGTGTAGTTTGAATATGCCATTTGAATTGCAACATCTTGAATATTGAATTTAGTTCTTGCCCATATTGCCACTGTATCATTTCCAAAAACATTATAGCAAAAATCTTTTACAGTAGAAGAATCGCAAGCTCTCTGAATTATTGGGGTGATAGCATTTGCTCTTAAATTTGAATTAAAGATTTCAACACTTACTAGAAAAATGTAGGGAAGGAGGAATACTAGTGACATAGATGAAGAGCTAGAAATTAATCTCCCCATTTTTTTTAATCTCGCTTCAACTTATCCCAATTTTTTTGTTTGAGACAATAAATATGGGTTGATTTAAAATATAAAATGCAAATAATTAATTAGCAACATATGTGGAAATATTCTTTAAAAGGTAAAACTACCATTAATGTTATTATATCTTAAATATATTTAATTCCCTTTTAATATGGGATTGAGATATTCCAAATTTGTCTACATTGTAATAGTCAACATCTTAAATACAAATGTTCAAATAAGATCCTACAATCAATTAACGTATAGACTTGTCTTTGATAATTAATCAAATTCAAAAAATCCTATAATCAATCCAAGTGTTTAATTGAATAAGAGTTATTTGATTGCTATTTATGAATTATTTTTTCATTATTATTTATAAATTTAATTTACATATATAGTGTAATTTTAATGGTGTTACTATATTTTAATTTGTTTTAGTAGGTAACTTATTCGATTTTTAGATAACTCATT